CGCCTTGTTCAGTCATCCCCATTGCCGTATCGCCCCCGGAAGCTACGAAAGAGCCGGTCACCAGCCCCACAGACCCGAGGACAACGGAGAAGCCCAAGGTCAGTAACGATTGTGATTAAGTAAATTTTAAGTTAATCATATTTATATATATTATATCATTATATTAGTATATCATAAGTATATTTTAAATTAAAGCACTAAATTCTAATCATTCCTTCTTTATGTGTTACACTTTCAGACCAATACTTTGACGAAAACGTTAAAATATTGGAAGAGGCGATACTCCTTGTTCTCGAGGTTCGACAAAGGCGTTGTGTTGGACGAAGGTATGTAAAATTCAAAAAATTAAAAAAAATTTTCAGGTCATTCATTAATTAATTATATTTGCTAACACATAATTTTCATTATTCAGTAAGTTTCTTTTCCGTGTGCCCCGAAGTGCTCGCGGCACACATGGCGTCAAGATGTTCGTTCAACACAGTCGTCGACCCTTTTTGTGGTGCTGGTGGCAATGCCATACAGTTAGCTTTGACATGTCACCGTGGTAAGACCTACGTTTTATTTATAACTATTTTAAATATTTAATATAACATTTCTATTTTATATAATATGACGTTCGATTTATAATTTTGCATTTTTTTTTTAGTTATCGCTGTTGATGTCGACCCGGCTAAAATCAAATTAGCCCGCCGAAATGCTCAAATATACGGAGTCGAGAAAAAAATCGACTTCCGTGTGGGCAATTGTTTCGACATTTTAGACCGGGTCCATGCAGATGCGGTGGTGACATCGCCTCCGTGGGGCGGACCCGGCTACTCCAAACATTTCGACGCGAATGATCTGTGTAGCCGGGAAGCGGGTGGCATGTCAAGCATCCTCAAGATGGCAAGGAAGATCGCTCCTCGAACTGTATTACACGTGCCGAAGACCGTTGACCGAGAACAGTGTTTACACTTATCGAGAAACGCAAACTTCGGCCGTGTAGAGTTCGAGGACGTGACGATCGATGGCCGGCAGAATTGTATAAATATATATTTAAAATTGCGACAGGTAAATAAAATTGGTTATATTATAATTATTTTTAATAACATTATATTTAACTAAGTTCAAAAACAATTTTCTCATTCTGACACAGTTTTCTTATTATTATGTTCTAGGATAACAAACAACTCGGACCTGTCATCAATACAAAAGTAGAATTAGACACTAATTACAAAAATTGGTGGTCACGTTCTAATGACCTTAATGCATATACCACCTATTTGGAAAAAACTTCAAAATTTTTGAATTCCAAATAACTGTGATTTTGGAAAAAATTTTCCGATATATTTTTGTTTATAATATTTTTTTAATTTTTTTCCTGTTTTGAGTTTTTTTCTCTCAAGAGTTTTTTTTACTTTTTTTATTTTTTCGTTCTATACATTTTTTTCTGTTTTAGTTTTTTTCTCTTACTCAGAGTTTTTTTACTTCAATTATTTTATACAAATCATAAATGATCATTTATCATTTATTTTTTTAATGTTATAACTTTTTTCTTTTTTTATGTTTTGTTACAATTTTACAGTTTAACTCATTTTTCCTTTTTTTATTTATATACATTTGTTATTGTGATACTTTTCACATTTTTTTTGTTCTGTGGATTTATTATTGTTATTTTTTTAAGTTTTACTTACTATGACTAGTATTTTTGTTCACCAAACATTTTTAATTTATTTTAACCCTTTTACTACCACATTAAGTTTTAACTACAAAAAAAAAAAAAATTTCACGAATATTATAAATACACTTCTTAGATACCAATACCAAGTTTCGTGAGGATAGGTTAATTTGGTAAAAAGTTACAAGGTTGTACCTTTCAAGGTACACTGGTAGTCAATATAATGAAACCTAACCAAGAATTGCAGATCGCCATGTCAATGGCGTGGAATACCATTCGCAATGTCCATTTTATTGATTTTAAAAAAATTCTGTAGTAAGCTATTAGTTGATCAATTTTATCCACACCACCCATGCTCTCATTTTATAGTTTTATTACTTCTGGTTGTTCAACTGTATCATATTTTTTTATTTTTTTATCCCACAGTTCGACATTATCTACACTTCCAGATGCAATATGAACAGATTTACTATCATCAATATGAACAGATTTACTATCATACCATTTTAACAATGCGATTGTATTTTTGTCATTTCGAATTTCGAGTGTTGTCCCCTTCCCTATGGAAGCACTTGATCAGTCATAAACGGGGGCTTTGAAAATCTATCCACTCGTATAGTCGACGCTGCAAATATTTTCCGTTTCAACAATATTTCGAATAAATTATAATTTGCAAAGAAATTATCAAAAAATAAGAAGTGCTTATTTTCCTCAACATGTTCGGTTAATTGTAGAACAACTGAAGTGCCTGGACTAAATTTATTTTTAAATTGAGGGAAAAATTCAGTCTCACTGCCTTGGTAGATGAATATCTTTTGGTTTTAATTTATTAGCCATAGTCAAATCTCACAGTGAAAATCCCGATTATAATAATAACTTGTACAAAATATTATATAAGATACTGTTCGACAGACGAATTATAAATGTTATGCTTTTTGGTAGTAAATATCAACAGACAAGATTATAAATGTGTATAAAAAAAAACCTATCATTAATAATAATTTGAATTGTGAAGATAAGTAAAAATAAGTGGGTAGGATATTTCTAAAAATAAACATAAAATATTATTGATTGATCCATATTTTGAATCGACTACCAGTGGGCATTTGAATACCCACCAACTTTATGACTAGCATCTGCACCATCTAGTGATCCGTCTCTTCCGATTCTTATATAATTTTACTGTCAAGATACTACTTAATCACTATAATTAATTTGAACACCACGCTAGGTATCTCTTAGCTAAGTACCACATTAAATCAAAAGAGGTGTAGTCGAAGAAAAAATAAATACACCAAAAACTTGAATTTTTTTTAGATTTTAAGCTTTTAGTTATATATTATTGAAATTTAACAGTATGATTTCAACTTCTATACTAAATATATATATTTTGCTACAATTTTTTTCAAATTTCAGCTTTTCAACACTATAAACTGTGCCATTATCACACTTACAACTTTATGTATCTTGGAGTACCCACTGGTAGTGAAAGGGTTAAATTATTGTTGCAATTTTTTTTTTTTTTTTGTAACTTATTGTTTTGTTACATACATACATGCAAATATACTATGATTAACTATGTAACTGTATTATTTTTATTTTAATTTTATGTTCCTATTAAAAAGATGCTTTATTATTTTTTGATCATAATTATTATATCATTTAAGTTTTATTTATATGATTGAATAGATTTAAATTTGGAATTTTTCAATTTGATATTCTAATATTTTTTTCTTAATACTAATTTTCCAACTATTAGTAATATAAGTCTAAAAAGTATCTAAAAAAATTCTAGTTCAAAGAATCTTTGAAAAAATATAAAAAAAATGAAATTCCGATATTTACTGCATAATAAATATTAAAATATTAACTTTATATGGCTTGCGAACAACATATGTTTAAATGTTCTTATGCATCAATATATAAAAATGAATCATTATTCAAAATCAAGAAATCTTCTAAATCAAGAATTAATAGTCCTTTTTTTTTTAAATATATTTTAAAAACAGAGTGAGCAATTTTCAACGGATGAATCAAACTTCGCACTTATATGATTTAATACATACATAATACAATCATTTTTTCGACACATTTACCTAACACTTAAAAATGATGTCGATTTTCTTCATATTTAACATTGAGAAAAATAACGATACTAGTATATTTAATCTATGGTAGTACGGTTTAAAGTATTTAATACTGTAGTATGGATCAAAATTACAAGCCTTTACAGAGTAAATGCCATAGATTTTGGTGTGAAACATTAATATTTGAAAGATAATTTGAGGATGTAACTCATATGATTAATTATTAAACTGTATTACTTTGAATTTTTATTTCACAGATAAAAAAAGAATATGTAGTTTAATCAAAATAAATCGGTTTATTAATTAAAATCGGCTATATTTTTTTACATGTAAACAGAATTGGTTTATTTTGATAAGTGATAACATAACACATTATTCAGATTTTATTTTAATGAATATTTTCATTATACTTATTAGTCTGACCTATTATAAATTACAATTTTTAATATTTAAATATTTAATTATTGATAATTAATAAGTATTAAAAATAATAATGGGTCTGGAAGAAATACCAATTTCATGGAATAATGAAATTATGGACTTTAATATTACTCTCATGTAAACTAGTCAGGTAATTAAAGTTGACTTAGAATAAAATCGGTTTAAATTAAGAACGGCTTAACTCTTATCATGTAAACGTAGTAGCCGTCTGAACGTAGCCGTAGTGTGTAACTCCTATACCTCTTACTCAGTCCATTAGTGAGTAAAAGGTCTATGGTGTAAACAGTTTTACATTTAAAGTTATAATATGAGCTCAAACTTATATTTATATGAACCAAGAATAAATATGAATGCAAACAATTATATATTTATGCCAGACATCCATACAGTTCTAGCGTTATGTATGTATAACTTTTATAAAAAAATTATAAATATTGTAATCAGTATAATATTTATTTAAATCTAGTCACATACACAAACCTTATTATATTATTTATAACACAAAATAGAGTAGTAAATAAAGGAAAAAGTGTGGAAAGTGAAAAGTATTTCATAGAAGTGAAAAAAACCATATAAATAACCGAAAGGCCTGATATATTTTGAAATGTTAATACATGCTATACTTATATATATAAACATGTACTGTTTGGACTATGGCATTTTTGAATTTACATATTATGGATTACACGAGTTAGCAATTCTGAAACAAATAAAAACAAAATTTGAAAAATATAGTGTGCAATAAACGAGAATACCGTTTTTTTGGCTATATTAGGAATATACCTAGTAGATTGATAGAATTGAATGACATTGGAAATAATATGAGACATAAATTATGTCATACAATAGTTTATAATATTGATATATTTATGTTTGTATTACATTTTTGGTTACAACAATGTTAGGATTTTATGAAATTTTAAAATATACATATAATTGTAGTATAGTAACTTATATTAAATATTTATTTTTGTAATAGTCGTAACTGATATTTTTTATAAGATAAATTCGTACCATTATAAAAAAATAAAATTAATATATTTATATTTTTATTTATATGAATTTTAATTAGATATTTTTATAATTTATCATGTAAATCTAAAATACACTTCGATATTTTAACATTCTTTTTTATGGTGTTAAATATATACATATGAAAATTTACAAAAACTTTTTTACGTAAAACTATTTTTTTATTAAAAAAATATACATTATAACTACAGATATAAAAGATGTATAATTTAATTTTATGTATGTTTACTAAACTTAAATTTAAATCGTTTGTGTATGTATTATGTATTCAATATTATCCAATCCCGATACTTTTTCTTAATTAATTATTTAATTATAGTAATTTAATAATCCTGTTTTTTGAAATCAATTATTTAAAGTCACTAAAAATATAACTATGAAATATTCGAAAGAAATAAGTATTGATATAATTCAATTCAAAATACATCTTTAAAACTTGACAAAAATGAAAGAAAGATTATATATTATAATTGTCATAGGTAAAATATAATAAAATCATAAGGAATTTAATTGATTAAAACTTAAAATTTAGAAAAATTATATTAGTTTTACGGTATAAAATTGTAAATTTTAATATTAAACATCTACTGAAATTATAATCATGGAAAATTCGAAAAAAAAATAAATAGTAATTCAAATTATATAACTAATATTGTTAGAAAGTGTGAAATAAATTTATATTTGTACTTACTGTCAATGGGCTCATTTTTGGTGCAGCTTTGGCTATGGTCTTGATGACCTTGGCAGATTCGACTTGTCCGACGACAACGATGTTCATGGATATTTTTTCTGCGCCCATTTTTGGTTTTTTGTTGGTTTTTTAAAAAGCGAAGTGTAGACTAAAAGTGAAGAAATAAAATATAATATTATTCAATATTAAAAATTCCTACCGAAAATTGGTAGTTGATTGTTTCATACTCACCAAAGTAATGATTTACAAAAAAATGTGTTATGCCGGAATTAGGATCTCGGGTACCTTTATATAAGAACGAGGTTGCCGCGAAACGTGAGGCGACATGGCGTGATTATAGTACGTCAGTGTTTGCTTATCCATACATTTATTAATATGATACGTTAATTAGTTTGTTTATGTTTACGAAATTTGTATGAATTTATCTCATATTTTAATCATGTACAGAGTTAAATTAATCTTTTTTGATGATTAATTTTTTTTATTAAAAATATGCAGGTATTACATTAAAAATAGTGCAATTTTCAAGATCATGTTAACTATAGGTACCTACATATATACAAAACTTACTTAAATTGTACCTTTTGATTTTCATGTATTCTTTGATTGTTCCAACATATATTAGTTCAAAAGAATGCCCTTGCATAAACACTCATATACTATTGTCTGATTATAAATTTGACGAATTAAAATTTGTATACTCATAAATAAAGGTTAATGGTTAACGTGGAAGATTATTTTTTTAAATTTTTTTTTTTCATATTTTTACCATCATAAACTATGTATCCAATTTTATTGTATCCAATAATATGTATCCAAATTTTCAAATTTATATTTTAAAAAACAGAATAAGAATTTAAATTTGAATGTTAGTTTGGTTCATCTTGAAAAGTTGCAAAAAACGAGATACGACCTTTTTCGTTGGGGCCGTCGATATATTGAATTTTTTTTAGAGAAAAGCACACAATGTCTAAAATGTTACCACCAAATACACTTTCAAAAAGAAGAAATTTACTAATTAGGTATTTACTATTTTTAATGCAAATAATGTATTTAAAATGTTTGCCAAATAGTAAGTTGGTACCTATATATTACCTATATATATTTACATGATAATAAGGAGTAATTTAAAAAACAGATATTTTAAAGCAAAAAAATTATAAGTGTGTAAAATTGTAATAATTGTATACAATTAATTTAGCTAATCTATGAATTGCAATATATTAATGTTTTTTTTTTTTAATTTTACTTAATAATTTCACTTTCTAAAATGACCTGGCTTCTGTGCTCCCTGGACACGCAACTATCCACTTCCACCGAACCCGATATTCAGGTCGGGTTTTAGCCCTAAATCTTTTGAAAATTAGGGTTGACCCGTTCCATTTTGGGCCGAAATTAAGCTAACATTCTAAATAACCAAATTAAAATTTATCATCGATATTTTTTGGATAATATCCCATAGTGTCAACCAGTACGATAATGATACCGATATTTAGAAATTGTGGCCGTTTTAATTTTAAATTTTCCGTTCGACTACATTTTGAGGACTTTGGGGCCATTGAATACAGCATATCTACATTATATTTTAGTTTTCATAATCAATAATTTTGTATATATATGTCTTATAAATGGTAACTCAAAATTTTTTTAGATAAATAAAATGTGTGAATATGTTAAAACATTTACTACTGGCGTAATTTTGAGACGATTACGAAATTATAAAAAATATTTTTCCGTAGAACTCTGAAAAACTTATTGAAAAATAATATTTTTTTAAAAATTTAAATTACCTAACAAGATACATATGCATATGCCAATTAACTCCAGTTTTTGATAATGATTATTACACTTCCTATTGTATAAATTAGTAATGCATGATATTATTTATTAAATATTTCTAACTCATCATTCACTATCAGTCAATATCATGGTCTATCAATCAACCATTCAAGTAATACATTTATTATTTCTAAAAATATTTATATAATATTTTGACAAATCTTTTTTCAAAAAATATGACTTAAGTGAACCAATGAATTATTATTTATACGAGAAAAAATAATTACTTCTATAAGATTTCTAATTTAATTTATTGTATAACATTTTTATTTTATTAATAATATTATGTATTGTTTGAGTAGGTATCTGAAATTGGTTTCTTACAAACTAATTCAAAATTGTCAAATATCAGGTTTTTAATAATACAAAAATCTAAAATTCTATCAATAAAAGACACATTCTGAAATCATAGAGGTTTTTACCCATTCAATTTTAAACTAATATTTTGAAAATATCTAAATTAAAATCGTTAAGGAACGTTAATTAGTTAACAGCAAAAATGCACAGACATCTTCCGATGATTGATAGGCCAATCGGAAAAACAAGCAATGTTATCGGACGATCACGCCACAACAGTTCACTATAAACTGCCGAAGCGAGTAATGTACTCGTATATAAAGGTATCAGAGATCTCGATTACGGCATAATACGTTTTATTGTGAATATTTACTTTGGTGAGTATGAAACTATACGTTTTTATTTTTCAGCAGGACTTTTTAAAATATAATAATATTGTTTTTGTACTATTTCTATTTTAGTCTTTACTTCTATTCCAAAAAAACCTACCAAAATCCAAAATGGGCGCTGAAAAGGTATCCATGAACATCGTTGTCGTCGGACAAGTCGAATCTGCCAAGGTCATTAAGACTGTCGCCAAAGCCGTACCAAAAATGGGCTCATTAATGGTGTGTATTTAAATTTACCTCTAAATATTTTTGATTATTAAATTTTACTTATATTCATTGAAAAATAACAACATTTTGATTTTTAAAAACTTAAAAATTATTAATTACAAATATAGGTAACTAGTCGGTTGATTATATTCATATTAATTAATATCATTATTAGTACAAGACTTGAAAACATCATTGGTATACCATATATAATTTCATTACCATCAATTAGTACAGCCATTTTTTTAAAAAATAAATGTAATAATTAAATTTAATTTTAAATTATCTACATAAATAAAAAAAAATGTATATCACATTTAATTATGAGTTTTAAAAAATTTATTTTCACTAAAATACAATTTTGTATTCAACAATTAAGAAAAAATGTAAATAAATGTATTATTATAAATATCTTGAATTCATGAAATTGTATAGATAAATACATCTAACAAAATAATGCCTATTTAAAATAATCAAGTTATAATTTGTAATTCGTAGTGCTAAATTTAAAGCAATATGAGTAATTTAAGTACTTATTTAAAATATTTTTTATTTCATTTTGTATTATTTAACATTTACTACAAAAAAAAAATTAATTAATATTAAAAATTATTAATGTTACATAATTATAATTTTTGAAAAATTATAATATTTTCAATGATTCAATTCTTTATATAAATTGTAGTACAGCCTCAAAATGTTATTGTTATTGATTATTCATGTTTAATTTTAACTTTTTCTTTTTTCAGAACTTTTAACTCATGCAATCCATCAATGGCCTACTCAAAAACGCCATAGCTCAAACAATGTATTTATACGTATATAATATGTATTATAACATTGCCAAATATATCAGTTTTTACCGTTATTTACATCGTTTTTTTAAGGAATTCTCTAGACACTCCACTCTACATATACTTTATTTACTGCTGTGATTTGTATTAAAAATGTATAGGTTTCATTTAAAGATTGTCTTATCTCGTCAAAAGTTTATAAACAAATAATGCGTTGCTTTAAGGTGACATGCAATTTTTCAGGAATTACAGCACCAAAATTTCATACATTTCGACAATAAAAGACAGTAATTACTTTTCAGTGTCTTTAATAAAATTTATATTTTTAAGTCTTGTGATTATAAAACCCTATTAAAACACGGTAAACGTTTGGAAATTTTATTATCAACAAATGATACGACTGATATTGGTGCAATTGAATTATTTGATTATATACAATTATTTTGTCAATTAATTGAATTAAATAGTTTTTAAAAATGATTTTTAACTGTTAAAGTTCGATAACAATGAATATTATACTTATCAATATGTTTATTATCTCATGCTATAATTATAAAACAATCAGCAAGGTCGGAATATTCGGTTAGTACTATAATTTTTTTATTACGTACTTTATCATGTTTAGCACATATAAGTATGAAACCAATATTGTAATATTTTATCGTTAGATAATATATACTCGTTTTTATTTATCTATATAATGAGTTAAAAAAAGTGATTAATTATGATGGACGACTCCGACCTAATATATTATATTTATATTTTGAATATTATAAACGTAGAATTATAATGTATTACGGTGATAGGTATGTATTATAATTAGTTATAACTATAAATACTATAAAATTGTATATCATAAAAATATGTTAAAAAACTCCGATAGTTAAATTTACTACAATATATTAATCAACAGTCAACATTTATATGTTAAAATATGTTGTCATGTATAATTATTAAAATAATTTGGTGCACTAGTTGTTCGTAACTATAATACATATGTACTTACATATAATGCTTACATTTTGTGTAAAATGCTAAGAATCAGTAATCTGTAAAACTGTTTATTCTGTTGACACAGAATCACAACCAACATTTTATTATGATGTTCTCAAGTTAAAAACTTTTAAAGTATTTTTTTTTTTAAATCTGTTGAAGTATTAAAATCAAAATGAATAATATTTTAATGTAAAATAAAAACATAGGTTTTGATAATGAATTATAAAATAGATTATAATAGATTATTTAAGCTAATGATTATATTGACATATGTTTTTTTCAAAACTAGCAATCACACATACATGTTCACGACTTATCCTCAGATAACGTTGTGGGTTATCGTAATATCCGTGATACTTCTATTTTCACATGTATTTTAAATGTAGGTACTTACATTTTACAAGTCTCTTCCTTAAATTTACTTAATTAATTACGTCAGTATTATGTGAAGTTAGTTTTATGTTATTCTCAAGGTACCATAGCATTAGAAAACACCACACATTTTGAGTCACATGCATCAAAAACTAATATTCACCATACCACTGACAATATTATTAATTTATTAAGTAGTTAACTCATATTTTCTTTCATGTGGTAATTGAAAAATTATATAAATAAACTATAATAAAACAATACATTTTACTTTAATTCAGTAGTGGCTCGTGAGGTTCACATGAATTGGTGCAAAAATAATTTGTAAAATACCTATGCTGGTGGGTAAAATGATTATTAATTTTATTTTATGTATGGGTACATATCATGCACTTATCTACATATTATTTTCTCAAGATCCCTAAGCTCTTTGTCACAGTGAAATAAAAATAAATTGAAAAAAAACAACTTATTATTTATGAAACATAAACATAAAATCGTTTCGCATTATGCGTTTCGATAAATATTAATCCGGTGCTCACATAGATTGTTCTCCAAATGACCACGTATTAAACAATTGTAAAATAAAATAAATAAACAATATATGCATTCAAAGAACTTTTCTATTCACAAGACGGATGCTTTTATGACATGCATAACACAAATTACGGTTTAAAGCATAGACCTTATACTAAGTATATGTATTACTTAGCTATAAGATCTATGGTTTAAAGTAATCGGTGGCGATCAATTATACTAACAATCTTTTGTCAATCTTTTGTCATCCATGCCTATCAACGATTAGTGATATGTAAAGAAATTTGAAAACTGATAGAAAGTCATAATTTCATTTATTAAACTCCAAATCGATTGAGTCACAACAAAAATTGAATTTCGCTGAGAACAGGTAAGTCCTACATATTATCGTTTTTTTTTTATGTGAAACATCTTATGGCGTGGTACAGTAGTGAGACCGACTGTGCCGTGGCGACGCCCCACTCATAGCTCGTCGGCTCAATTTTCCGAAGCTCGGCGATTTCCTCTCTATGTGCGCTGTATCGGCTTATCTATTTTTATACGATTTATAAACGTATAATATGTACACCTATATTGTTGCGTATAAATAAATTGATAGTATATTACGTTGATTATATTGTTACGTGTATGTATATTTTATATTATGTTGTTTTGAACGGACCGTTTTAATAACGATATATATTTTCTAATGAAATATGAGTGACAGTGACAGTGAAAATATTGCAAATATAATGGAACGAGACAGTGCATCGCCTGTAGGTGATCTGTGTGCTTCTCAAATTGTTATGGATGACGGAAGAGAATTTCTCATGGTCATTGTATACATTTCACCCAATCAAAAAATTAACGATATCATTGCATTTTTACATCGGCGATTACTTCCATATAGTCACGAAGGATCGATGCTTTTGAAAGATAATTTGGATAAATTACCATTACTTTTAGCAGGAGATTTTAATGTAAATTTCGCAAGAGACAATTTATTACAATTAATTACATTTCTTCAAGAAAAATTTAGTTTACATATTAATAACGATCCAAGAGAAGCAACAACCAGATATGGAACTGCTATAGATGGAGTATTCACAAGGTACCTTGATAACGTTATGTCATGTACTTTTGTTGCTTATTTCAGTTATCTTTGTCCAATTGTTACATTGATACAAGCAATTGTACCATTAGAAGCATCAACTGCTACTGTCACAGAAATAACTGACGAAGCAACAGATAATATTGATTAGAGTAGTTACATTTTTACATTTGTATGTCTTTGTAAATCTTTTAAGTACTTCATATGCAAATAAAA